TCTTGAGTTTAATCATGAAATATATTACTTTTGTATTTTTATCATGTCAGAGTATTTGTGTATGGAAGAGTCATTCACATCGCCTGTGTAAAGAAAAGAATTAGTAATAAAACCAAAGGAGGTCGAAATGACCTTTGCTATTTTTTTCAGTGCCACTTTAAACAAGCCTTGTTTATCTGAAGACTTGGTGCGAGAGCTCGTTACTTGATCCTGGTGCTGTTTCGATCATTTTCACTCTTATATTATAAGATGGCAAAGTTCAAAAATCTTATCTTTCTTGGCATATGTTTGGTAGTAAAGATCAATACTATCAACCAAAGGGGATATCCTTGCTCATGCTGTTTCAGGAAGTGACATACCGACAGTGTTATTATTACTGACAGCAGGTAATATATTTAGTACTTTTATTGTATTGCAAAACGTCTCAGTCTACTGAACTGAACTAACCTTTGAGAGAACAATGTGAGTCCAAACTGTTTTGCGGTTCCCAACCAACAGTTTGTGTACGGTGGAGCTGGCGTTTAGGGAAGTGCAAACGTCGGCGGTAGAGAATTTGACACACTGGTTCGCCAGTTCATACGACGGCTATGCCATTCTGATGAGCCCCAATAAAGGCGGCGAAACAGCTGTTCATATAGCTGCCACTGCCGGGTTGATATATGATTAAGGGCAAGAGTAAGGAATTGGCCAATACCGCAAAGTTGGTACGTGTGCTTCAGTGCTAATATTAGTATTGTGAGCCCAATCCCTGCTTAGCCAAGACCTTCTACTAGTTCCATTTTTTAGAGTCACTAATTATGAGTCGACTCTGATAATGATCTTCTAGCGTTTTATTAAATAAGAAATCTAATACTGTAGTCTTGAATGCAAATGATTTCCTCGCAGTTATATTTTAAAAGCTCTGTCTTCCACTTCTTACATTGAAGTGTGGGACTTACTGTCTACCTCAACCCTTTAAACTCAATCACATCAAGAAACGGAAGAACTTGATTATCTGACGTGAGTTAAACGTCAGGTTCGCGGAAAAAATCTCATTTCTTTCCTTTCTTTGGAAAATATAACTCTTGTATGAAAAGAAGGCTTCCATACGTATGGAAGTATGTATAAACGAGAAGACTTAATCCCCTTAACCTTTTGTGTTGTTTGCCATAAGATAGCATACAGCGATTCCTCAGTCCTTCATATGCATATGAATGTACCTCAAGAAAGGTTGGAAAAAACTAAAAAAACAGACAAAAACAAAAACCTTTAGACCGCATGAAATTTCAAAAATCCGTGCATTAAATGAGAAAACATTCATACCGCGAGCGTTAAAATTTGAAGATTGAATCGCTGGAATGGGGATTAATGCTCTTCGCCACGTTTTCAAGCGCTTTTAACCTCTTCTTTTGATTGTTCAACTCTAATTCAACTCTTAAAAACCCAACGCAGTACAGAACAATATTTAAAACAGATATGGTGGAAGCAAGATAAGGAAAGCGTTGTTTTGGAGTCGTCATTTCGAATTGGCGAGTTTCAATATCGTTTCGGCGGTCTGGTACGTGAACCTGTTACATGATATATACTTAAAGGGACTGGTTCACGATAATGCGCATGTGTGAGTTCTGACAGTAGCTGATTGTTTTTCAACCAATCGGAAGCGAGTTAGATGCACGCAAGTAAATTTACAAAATTCAAATTAATTGTTCGCGACGCGAGAGTATTTCCGGGCATTTGGTTTGATTTTATTTATCCCCATAATTCAATTTTATTCTTTGCTACTCCTCAGATATATGTTGCAGCCGATAAGAATAAGATTTACAGCCCTGTCCTGCTTTGAAACAAACATTTACCAACGTGTATTTTTACGAGGTCGTACCCACGCTAACAAAACAGTCACCGATCGGCAAACAAAATTTGTAAACAAACATCTTATTACTGTTCTCTCAGTTCGCCTTATATAAACCCAGAAATACCTACAAATAGCGCCGGACCGGTGACAAAAACACACAACGTATGAGTATAAAGATTATCCTTAATTGAGCATAAATTTCAATTGCTTATCAGCAAATGAACAAATTCATTCGCGTTGCATCGGGTCAGTGTTCCGCAAAACAAATGTTATCGAGTAGCACACATAAAGAAACTAGATTATGAACAGAATATTCAGGCAATAATTTATTTTAAAAACATCAATTCTTAAACATATACGATCGTAAAGCAAAGATACAAGGAACATTTCAAGTGTACCAGATCGGTGAAGATCGCGCGGCCTGTTGCGGTATAACTACAGGTCGGAGTCAAAAATCAAATCAAAGTTGAACGAACTCATGCCTTTAACCACTTTCCAAGTGTCGTGTATTCTTTTCGTATGCCACACACTACTCCTAGAACCATACCAGATCGATAGGCTAAGCTTCTCTATCTCCAGAGACTCTTGAGAACGTCCTGTTGCCGGACGGCCACGATGCTCTTCTCAACCTCCATGATCAAAACATTATTTTTTGCGTCTTCTTAAAACGTAACCAGTCAAACGACACAACCACACGTTAATCACCACTACCGAAGTATAACTAGACCAGCCAAAGCGACGGATGTCCAAATAAAACGAAGGATTTTCAATGATTGTACCGGTAATGGCGATTTCGAATTTAGTGTTGACCCAACAAATTTATTCTGAAGAGACAAACGGCGCGCATGCGCATTATCGTGAACCAGCCCCTTTAACTTTGGTCAAAAATAGGGACTTATTTTTTTAATGCAAGGATATTTTTTTCACTTCCCTTTTCTAAGGAGGCAAAAGTTTGTATCCGTTTCGGCGTATCTTAAGTGGATCAGTATTAGATTCTACCCAGCTACCCCTCCCCTCTAACTAAATGCCAACACTAACCACAGGCGGCCCAAACTCACGTTGCGAGGGAAGGGTGTAATGTAATATAATTTACATAACATAGGTGACTCCCCGGTGTCGCGTTACAGGCGACCGTTGAAAATATAAGAGACTTTGTATGAGAAATATATTACTGAGATCTGCGAATGCTAAATAACTCTAAACCTTGCTTTTTCTTAAATGAAATGAATGAAAAAGTCTTACCTGCAATGTATTCTACTGCGTTTTGGTGTCTGTTTGTCGTTTCACTGTTTTTTGGCTTTATTGCGTAACCACTGTTACTCCTTTCGTTCTATGAAAGGAGTAACAGTGGTTACGCAATAAAGCCAAAAAAACAGTAAAACGACAAGCAGACACCAAAACGCAGTAGAATACATTGCAGGTAAGACTTTTTATTCATTTCATTTAAGAAAAAGCAAGGTTTAGCTATTGAAAATTCTTTGAAACTCTAATCTTATCACAACGGTTTTCTGCTTCAAACCATGCACGCTCCGACTTGTTAATGAAAAACTGAAAAAAAAAAATCAACATTTTACTGTTTACGTTTACGTTCAGCAAAAGAGCGAGGATATTCTCTCTTGCTGTTACAGGAAGTGTACATGTCATGCTTTTTAAAGCCTATATTGCCAGTGATCTAATAGAAACAGCAAGTAATACATTTAGTACGTGTGTTGTATTGCAATACTTTCCGAGTCCACTAACATCTACCTCTCGGGATTTAAATGCTGAAAGTATTGTGAGTCCAGCCCCTGGTTAGAAAAAACCTTATTCTGGTTTGTTATATTTTTCATGAGAGGACTGTGAGTGCTCGCCTTTTCTTTCTTTTCCAAAACCAGCCGAAACAGCGGAGCAATTCTTTTCAACCTTACTTGAAAACAACTTCTTGTTGATTTCTGCAAGATACCAACTAATTAAGCCTCGGCGAGGGAGTATCGTTAAAAGGGAAGCTTGAACAATCTCCCTCAACGTGTAGATTGGATGGCAGAGCAAGCGCATCGTTTTCGATTTTTTGTTTTCTCGTCTGTATTTTAAATCATTAATTTAGGACTTGGAAAATTATTCCTCCAGAACAGTTACAGTTTCTCTAAGGCTGGCATGCTTTGCACATGATATAGGCAATAGGATCATTAATATATGCTGAGTCATCTCAAGACCTTGAATTAAACACGGAGGCTTTAGTTCCGTACCTGATTTTACCTTACACAAAAAACAGAAACTTTATATTACTAAAAGGTATCCTCGAGTCTCATAAGGTACAAAATAAATGTTAAATTAAAAAGATCATTGACCAACTATTGGACCAACCAGGAAGCATTAGCTACTTTGGTGACTGGCCACATCTTAATTCCTTAATTTCTTGTTATCTTTATTTCTGACATTGTTCCGTAAGGTACTTATACAAATTAAAATTCAAATGTAAACAGTATGTAAATAGCGTAAAAACATTAAAATCTGTAAATCTTTATTTCCCTTTAAAAATGGCTTCTTTCAAAAGTAGCTTTATTTATTTTCCTACAGTCTTTGTTATTCTACAGAGTTACGTTAATCAGCTAAAAAGTTTGAGGTAAGAGCACGATTTTCTCGCGTTCCATCGGTGTATTTTTTCTGTCTAAATTAGAGGGGGAATCTTAAAATTAATAATTAAAAGACTTACAGAAACGTATCAGTTCAGCTTACTCGTGTAGTAAAAGATCGAGGGAAAAGTAACTGAAGCTTTGTCGCTGGTGTAAATGGATGAGGAATTGCCTTCAGGTTAGAAAATTTGTCGGGAACTGCTTGCATGTGAAAGTCATTTACACAACAGAGCTGCTAAGACTGCTAATAACAGTCGGTCATAAGACGAGATGTTTTAAATTTGCGCATTTCCGGAGAAAGCCTTCACCTGCAGTCGGACAAAATGACTTGAAGAGCAAAGACAATAATTTTGCAGCGGAAGATTTGTACAGTAGTTAAAAGAATTAAAAATCAAGATAATGTACGTCCCTAGACTTTTCTGGTTTGTCCGTTTGGACATAACGTATGTGCTTTTTACTCATTCCTTTCAAATCGCAAAATTTCAAGAGCGACAGCTCTGATATGATTGAAATCTATCTCAATGAAATAGTTCTTTATCAAACAGGATCTTTTCGTCTTATGATGACGGCCTCAATTTCATTTCCGTGAAGTTTAGTGAAACGCCGCTTCTGAAGTCCTCCCAAATGACTCCAGTATAATTCCACCTAGTGTTTCCCAGGTATTTTCCATTTAGATTGGAGTTGTGGCAACCGCTGTACCACCAGGCACCAATGAATGATACAGCACAGTGTATACTACCCCATCTGTCGTTATCTCTATCTTTAGTGCTAAAAGCCTCGTTATTATGCCATGCTAACGAATCTCCTGCCGTCCCTGAATACGAGCCCACTCCAAGTCGATATTTCGCCTGCTCATCACCAATGTAAAACTTGCCATATTTGGCATATGCTTTTGCTCCGTTCCAGTCACCCAGTTCCACCCGCAAAGATCTGGGTCTAGAGGCCGTCAGCCTGTGGATCTTGTCGTTTCCTAACCAGAACTCAGCCGTCAGCTGACCAAAACCTGATTTGTAATCGTTCCATCCGCGATAGAAGTCCACCGAGCCATCCTGTCTTCTCTGGAAAACGGTCCACCCTCCACCATCAGTGCGCATGTCACAGTATACAAGGAAGGCTCCTTGACCGTCTGGGTTCACAGAGTACACTCCACTTTGAGTATAGTCTGATTTGAACAGTGATAAACAGTCTTGACCTGAAGTGAAAAGAAAAAAAAAACATTTATCAAATATTTAATTTCAGAGAAAAGCAAATGTTTATTTGCAAGCCTGACAAAGTCAGTTAGATCACCTTTTTCTGGTTTCAGTTAAAGGTATGCAAAGTTCTAAACTAGATATGTTAAAGGGGTTTTATTTGTCAATGTAAGGTATACGGAAGGGGTACCTTTTCTGTCAAAAATGGCATAAAAATGGTAAGAGGCTAGGCCTCGGGGCGTATAAAACTTTTTGAGTTCCCCCCCCTCCCCCCCCCCGACTCCTCCCGAATGTGGACCTTTCTTCAGAAGCAGGCTGACTTGCAATTCCTTTTTCTTTTTGTGCTTTACTGTTTAGGCAGGCCATTCAATGTCTCATTCCTTTGTTTGCCTTTTTTTCCCTTGAGCTTGATCTTTTGCTAGTCTATGTTTCCCAATACAAATGTAACCTATTTTGGTACAAGTAGTTTGCCATATTATTGACCCTAAACTGCCACATGGCTTTGGTATGCAATTTCGCAGTGAGCCACAGCTGGCGTTAATTTCTTAAAACTTCCTTTGATTTAAACTCTAGACGAGAAATACTAACATCTGTGACCACTTTGTCACCTTTTATTTTCAGTTCTCTATTTCATTGCAACATTAATCTCTCCACTACTTTATCATATTGCACAAATTTTACTAATACCGGGGTTTTTCCCCTTTTCCTCAAGAGGAGGAATGTCAAAAAATCCTGTATGATGCGTGTGGGGAGGATATGAAAAGAACTTTGTCCCTTTTAGAAATATCCCTTTCCCCCACCCACCCCCTCCCTGTAGTATACACAATGGATGCAGTCTAACAAACAAACCTCGAGCTATCGGTTGATACACTTCAACGTTTGTCACCGTTTCAACTTGATGTTTCCTAGTTATTGTTGCCACACAAATATAGTTTCCTGCATCGTTCAGTGTTAAACCTCTAAGAATTAATGTGCCATTCATCTGCTGGCTTCGCCCAACAGGCAGCTGAGATCCTTGTTTTTTCCAGCTGATAACTGGTGTTGGATCACCAGCAGCGGTACAATTCAACTCCAGAGTCTCATCAGTCGCTGCAAAGATTTTGACAGGCGGCGTAACGGTGAACTTAGGAACAGGGACCTTGACTACTAGCAGCGTCTTCTTTTCAACACTTCCCAACAGGTTTACTGCTGAGCAGAAGTAAGTGTCGGAATCATTCTTTCGTGCGCGGAATATAGTTAAAGCACTTGTGTTAGTCTTCACTCTAACCTGGGGTAACTGGCCAGACAACTTGCCCCAGGTTACCACAGGCTGAGGGTAACCAGTCACGTGGCAGATTGGAAGGGTTACGTTTTTACCCTCAGTGGTGTAATGAGGTCCCGGATGAAGGAACATTCGAGGGTGAACTGAAACAACAACAAAAAGGATCAAACAGTGATCCCGTTAAACTGACTGAGAGAATTTGTAATCTCTTCGGAAAAAGAAGAAAAAAGTAAAAGGTAAAAAAAAAAAATCATAAATAAAATGTAGCTGCAAAAGCTCTCCAATGTTTATGGTCATGAATCCTAACATTGAGACGATGAGTAACAACAGCAGGTAAAAACCACAATAAATAAATAACAATTACTGGCTAGCTAATAAGTCAGTAAAGTATGCTCTAGTTTGCAGAAAAGCATTAGTTGGGCATTTTAAATGAGATGGAACTTTTATCAGAGTAGTTCATAAGAAAAGAGTGGCCTTGGCTTGTTCTAGTACATTTAAAAAACAAGTAACAAATAAATAAAAAAAAGTAATAATGAATAAATAAGAATTCATTTTTGGCCTACCAACCAAGGCAAATTATGGTAACATTCGAGGGCTAGGATCCTGCACTGACATACTCTGAAAAACCTCATACTGAAGCCTCCAAGAATCGAACTTTTGCTCGTTTAATGTGAATGCAACAAAACCAAATATTGAATTTAATAGTACACAGTCATACCATTTACTACAAGCTGCACTTGTGCCTGCGCCGTCCCTAAAATGTTTGCTGCTGAACAAAAATACGTTCCAGTGTCACTTCCTGTTACTTTTGATAAAAGCAAGTGTCCTCTTGAACCCAGGGAGTGAAGTAGTTGCGACTGATTGTCCATTTTACTCCACGCTACTGTAGGCTCAGGATTACCGCTCACTGAACATTGAAATGAAGCTGTTCCACTTTCGTTTACTATCAACTTTGCAGGAGAAACTGAAACAACAGGAGCTGTAATCGATTCACCAGGCTCTCCTTTGGGTCCCGGCACCCCAGCTGGTCCCATGTCTCCTTTTTGCCCTTTAACTCTAGAATCGCCTTTTGGTCCTGCAGGTCCCATTATACCTCGCCTGCCGCTTTCCCCTGGTAATCCCACAAGGCCTTTGTCTCCTTTGTTTCCGGGTGTCCCCCTTTCTCCTGTTCGCCCTTGCTCTCCTTTCTCTCCTCTCGGCCCAGGTGGACCGGAAGGGCCTGGGGTACCTGACTGACAAGAGTCACCCTTTGAGCCGCAAAGGCGCAGTGTCCCCGCTGATAACAGTTTGTTTATTTCTTTTAAGGTGTCCTCTGGTGTTTTAGCTTTGCTCGTCGTGTTGGTTGCAACTACTTGGCGCTTGCTTCTATGTTGTTCAGAATCGTAAGATCTCGCTGAGAAAATTAATGAATTATATTGTTAATAGACAAATTTCGATATATTAAAATTCATACTTTGCTACGAGGCTTGAGGAAATGAAACGAAAGAAATGTATTATTCATTGCTGAGCCTCAAGATGTTTTCTTTTTTTTTTATTCCCCTAAGTCTCGGAGCCAAGTAGGAATTTCGATATATCGAAATAGGTCTATTAGTGCCAGCCGAAATGTAAATAAGCTTTGATAGTTCAAAATTAGCATATAATTTCCGGGAAGGGTCACAAATTAAGAATCATTAGGATGTCGTTAAATCTTCTGTTAGTTCTATGTTACATACTAATTTCTCGATTTGTTTGTTATTCCTTTCCCTGGCTCAATATATAATGCATTTCGCAATCAATGATCCAGAGCGGGGTGTATATAATAAAATATTATAAGTGCAAAATTTGCAATAAATCTGCTTTATAAACCAGTACCTGGTTGTCCAAAGGCTAAATCACTATCCGGCGGATAAGTATTAGGGAAACCAATGGCGTTATCCACTGGATAGTGATGTATACAGTGGATATCGTTCTCCAACTTTTGAACATCCGGTGCCAGAGCTAAAGCAGAGGTCACACGATGCTGATGTATGCATTGATATGTAAGCCAATCGACCACTGTATTTTTAACAAAGAAGTCAATTTATGCATTTTATCATCATCATCATCATCAATCATTTATTTTAACACGTTGTGTCAAAGAGCTAAAAAACTCGTTCAAAATACGAACGTGTATAAATAAAATCTATAATAACTACAGCTATATAATATTATTCAATTTTAAAAACAACTCAATAAATATATACATATAAAAAA